GACATGTGATTCAGAAGATGAGATATTCCTTTTTTATAGAAAAATATACTCCATGATGAAGAAAAAGGGAGGATCGCGCTGGAGAAAGTACAACAGAAACCTAAGAGAGAAAGCACAGCCACTATGCTATGAATGCAAGAAACCTGGACACTAAAAAATAGAATGTACAGAGTTAGAAAAAGAAAAAGAGAAAGAAAAGAAGAAATGAACCTCTCACAAGAAGAAAGCCATGATGGCCACTTGGGAAGATTTGGACACGACATCATCTAAGGATGATGAACAGGTGAACATATGTCTAATGGCGGACACAGACTCATCATCTGAATCTGATGATGAAGAGGTTAGTAAGTCTGATTTTGTGGAACTCCAGTATGCATACAATCAACTTTTAACTGATTCTGCCAAAATCTCTACTGCATATAAAGAACAAAAGAAAAGAATTTCTGAACTGGCTAAAGAAAATCTTTTACTAAAGAATGAAATTGCTAAATTATCGAAAGAATAAGAGAAAAGACTTAAAGAAATTGAAATACCAAAATCTGACCTATCAAAGTTTACTCTAAGAGCTAAGAACCTTGAAAATCTTTTGAAATATTCTAAGAGTAAAAATGAAAAGTCTAGGTTAGGGTATGTTAATTCTGAATCTGAAAACAAAGCAAGTACATCTGCATATCCTATATACAATGGGCATTTCACGCCTAAGTGCAGTCACATGCACAAGAAGGGGTATTCAAAAACCTCAAACACTAACATTTATGGACCCATATCCATTTGGGTACCAAAGACTAAGATAATACCTGTTGCAGATTTGTTCAACAAGAAAAAGAAGTGTCGAGTCATGGTACCTGGATAGTGGCTGCTCCGACACATGACGGGTAAAAAGTCTATGTTCCTAGACCTCAAGTCCATGAATGGAGGCCTAATCACATTCGGAGGAGGACAGAAAGGACAAATCATGGGAATAGGTAAAATATGTATAAATTCCTCTATTACCATTAACAACGTTATATATGTTAAAAAATTAACACATAACCTGCTGAGTATAAGTCAATTATGAGATAGCGGTTACGAAGTTTCCTTCAACAAAAACAAATGTACTATTAGTCAAACTGATTCATCTATATTGTTTATGTCTAACAGATGCAATAACTTATACAAAATAATGCTTAATGAACTAGAAGATCAAAATATTGATTGTTTAGTATCTTATGAAAACCAGTGGTTGTGGCACAAAAAGCTTGGTCATGCAAGCCTGAGATTAATCTCAAGGCTGAAAAAACATAACCTCGTAATAAGAGGTCTACCGAGTCTTGTGTACCAATCAGATAGCCTATGCGAAGCATGTCAAAAGGGGAAACAAGTTAAAAGTTTGTTTGAAAGTAAGAATCATGTTTTTACCTCAAGACCTCTTGAAATGCTCCACATAGATCTATTTGGCCCCACTAGGACTGCATTCATTAGTGGTAAAAGATACGGACTGGTCATTGTTGATGGCTATAATAGATGGACATGGGTGCTGTTTATAACCCACAAGGATGAGTCTTTCAAGGTATTCCATGTATTCTGTAAAAGAGTTCAAAATGAAAAAGAAATATCAATTATGTCTATAAGAAGTGATCATTGGGGAGAATTTGAAAACGAGCAATTTCAAGATTTTTGTGAAGAAAATGGAATTAAACAATTTTTCAACTCCTAGAACTCCAGTACAAAATGAAGTTGTAGAAAGAAAGAATCGCTCTTTACAAGAAATGGCAAGAACCATACTAAACGATTTTTCAACTCCCAAACACTTCTGGGCAGAAGTAGTTAATACTTCATGCTATATCCAAAATAGAATATATCTTAGGCCTATCTTGAAGAAAACTCCCTATGAACTGTGGAAGGGACGAGAACCCAACATATCATACTTTCATCCATTCGGATGCAAATGCTTTATTTTAAATACTAAACAAAACTTAGGAAAATTTGAATTAAAAACCGATGAAGGTATCCTACTTGGATACTCTGAAAGGTCAAGAGTCTACAAAGTATTCAACAACAGAACCAAAACTGTTGAAGAAACCATTCAAGTTAAGTTTGACAAAAGCAAGCCTGATAAAAAAATGTCAGAGCTAGGAACCTTCTTTGAAAATATGAAGGTAAATAAAAACCAGTTAAAGGAAAATGAGTCTGGAAGAACTGAAGCTCAACAGGATGATAAAGAGGAAAGAGAGCCTGTAAATAGAAACTAGCAGATGAAGGCACATCATCCTCAAGAGAAAATCATTAGAACGTCGACGATATGATAGTCAAAACCACCTCGGCGACAGATCATGCTGCCGACCTCGCCGAAGTATTCGCCCAGGTCAGGAAGCATAACATGCGCCTCAACCCAGAAAAATGTGTATTCGGGGTCCAGGGAGGTAAGTTCCTCGGCTTCATGATCACCAGCAGAGGAATCGAAGCCAACCCCGAGAAGTGCAAAGCCATTATCCAAATGCAAAGCCCATAAACGACGAAAGAGGTCCAACGCCTAGCTGAACAGTTAGTCTCCCTATCCCGCTTCATTCCCAAACTCGCGGAAAAGGCAGGACCAATCTTCACTCTCCTAAAAAAGCCAAAGGACTTCCTATGGACAAACCAGTGCGAAGAAGCTTTCCAAAGCTTCAAAACTTTCCTCACAACTCCACCAATCCTACAAAGGCCAGAGCGCAACACCGACCTCCTCCTCTACCTGGCCGTAGCAGAAAATGCCATGAGGAGGCACGACCTAGGAAAAAACCCTAGTCCACCCCTTGGCCAGAACAGATACCAAAAGGATATATTTAAATGCGTATCATGTCATTATTAAATCGTACTATATTATCATTTTAAAATTGTACTATATTTAAAGCCAAGAAAATCTTTTGAGGAACTAAACCAAAATCCCTCTATATTTGTAAAAAAAAATTAAAATCATTAAATCTTATAAAAAATATAAAAATATATATATTAAAGAATCAACAGTACCAAAAAATAAATCTTACCTTCCTTTCAAATTAATTTGTTTTTAAACACACCCTCAATTTTATCTCTCCAAACAAAGCATAAATATGCCCCTACCGTACTTAATTTGGCGATGCTAACTAAACCTAAGTTTGGGCCAACCTGAACAAGTGGAGTTGGGAGGGAAGTGAACACCACTACCCCGACACCCTCAAACGTGAGGACCAAACTCGTTGGTTGTTATACACAAAACATTAAACCTCTTCAACAAGCAAGCGCTTCTATCTTTCTCTGTTTCTCAACAGCATGACCGTCGTTGGTGTTCTCGCGTTGCAAGGCTCTTTCAACGAGCACATAGCTGGTACCTTCATCTTCCTTCCTTTTATTCATTTAATTTAATTTCACGAAAAGTTAACACCTTTTTTTTGTGTTGCGTGTGACGCAGCTCTTAGAAGGTTAGGGGTGAAAGGCGTGGAGATTCGGAAACCGGAGCAGCTTCACACCGTTACTTCCCTCATCATCCCCGGTGGAGAAAGCACCACCATGGCTAAACTCGCCGAGTATCACAACTTGGTCTCTTTTCTGCCTCTTTTTTTATTTTTATTTGTAGGATAAACTATTCACTTTTTGTCTTCCAAATTGTCCCCATTTTGTGTTTAGTTTGTATTAGAGAATAGTAGAACTGTTAAAGACTTAAAGGAAACTTTTTGACAGTGATATATAGTAAACTGATGCAAAAACTGTGTAAGGACTAATGCTGTGTTTGGAAACATGTTGCGTTACTGCAAACGAAGTTCACACTTTTCAATGTGCCAAGATAAGATTGAGAAGCAGGTTTTTTTTTTTTTTTGTCTTTTTTGTTGGATGCAGATTTCTATCTTTCAACTCCAAAACAAATAGACTTAGTGCGTGTTTGGATTCTCATCCACAAACCTCAAACGTGGATCAAAGAAGTAATTATTTGTTGCTTTTGGTGCGTTTTGACGTGAAAAATTATTAAAACTTAGATCATTAACGAGAATCCAAACACATACTTAGTGTGTGTTTGGTTTACCCATGTTTAGTGGACGAGATACAAAAACTTGCTTTGTATTTTAGTGTATTTGGTTTATCATTTGGAAAATATTCCTCGAACTTTTGCACATTTCAATGCACAAAATGTAGAAATAACTCTTTCGTTCTATCGGATCAAAAGCAAATTACATTGAATGTAACTTTTTCGCAAACACAGTCTTAGTGTTTTGGAATGAGTGAATTCACGTTTAAAGTGATGGCAACAGATTCTCAAGCACACTATTAGTGGATGTTTGGTTCCACATCTAAGGCTCTTGACTCACGTTAAAAATGTGGAAACAAAAGCAAGTAAGAGTAGCTTTTGCCTTCAGCGTGAAAATTGTCTCTGAAAAATAAAGTCGGGGTGAGCTTCTATCACTCTCATATATAGGTTACAATCAAACAAACCTTTTGGTTCTGCACAATGAGTGATGCCTCATGACATGTACTAGATATGCAATGCAAGGGAACCTATTCCTCCAACTAGTTCTTCTTTGCTCTTTTTCACTCACATGGGACCACGCTGCCTCGTCCTCCCAAGGTCTTGTGCATTTTTCTTTTTGGATGACAATTGGGAGTATATAACCCACTCGTGGTACATTTTCGGACATGACCCTGTTCCAAACACTGGCTAAAACTCATAGTTTTCTCTTGTAGAGACAAAAACTTAAAGCAGAGACAATTATAGAGAGCAAGTGAGTAGTTTAACCTTATTTTTATGCATCTCTCTATATGTGTTCTTATGTTTAATAATATATTGTATTGACAACCTTTATGTTTCTATTGGTACTGTGTAGACTGAAGAATAAGATACCATAAGATATAGCAAGTGAATAATTTTAGTATTATTTTTGTTTGCTTGCGTGGATTTGAGTTTGTTTGGTTGTGTCTTTAACTTACAAAAGAAGAATAAGATGGAAACAAGGAGTTGCAAATTGTCTTGGCACTTATGTTTTTTTAGTATTGTTTTCTATAGTTGGTATGAGTCATAGTTACCAAGTATGTGGTATGGTTACATGTATAAGGTTCAAGTAGGTATGTACTTTGTGACATTTTGCATTATTATTATAAGACTTGCTTTAAAGAGAATTTAGTATCTGATATGTGGTGGTACGGTGAATTTGGTATAGTATGCAGGGTAATTGAGAGAATTCTGTTACTGTGGTCTGAGTGAAGGTGAGAGAGAGGGAAGAATTTTGAAAAGGGAACTGGGTTTTGGGTTTTTGTGTTTGGTTGTGGCTTTGAATGAATGAGGTTGGAGTAATGCTTTGAACCTTACACACTCTAATGCTGTAATTTTATTCTCATGGAATCAGGTGATGATTTTGGTGTTTGTGATTTATGTTGGATGTTTTTATTTTTCAGTTTCCTTCCTTGCGAGAGTTTGTACAAATGGGAAAGCCTGTTTGGGGAACCTGTGCAGGGCTTATATTCTTGGCAAATAAAGCTGTAGGTAAGTTGTTTCTGTCTTCTGCCCTTGTGTTGGATTTAGACAATATCAGGTATCTTAGTCTTAATTTTTTTGCTCACTTGAAAACTTGATAATAGTCTAAAAAAATTAAATGATTAACATCACTTCAGGACAGAAGACTGGTGGACAACATCTGGTTGGTGGACTTGATTGTACAGTGCATAGAAATTTCTTTGGCAGCCAGGTAAATGCATGGGCTATTCATTTTAAGCTATAGTACAGTCTAGAAAACAAACATACATAGAAGCCTGTGTTAATTGTTGAATTTGGAATCAGCTTAGCATCCTCTGTGTGTGTATGGGTCACAAACTATCGGGGGTTTTACAGTCATTGTCATTGACTCAGCCATAAGGGATACTAATCATGTTCTTGATGAGCCTTTTAATCTCTCTTCCTTCCCTGTTCTACCTGCTCCCTTCTTGAGTCAGGTTTCTTATTATCAGTAAGCATCAAAATCTAAAATAGTTGCAAGTGTTCAAGATTTTTGCAGAATTTAGATTTTGCCAAAACAAACTTCTCTGGTTTTATAACATTTAGCGTCTGTGCCATTATATATGATAAGATTCATGGATTTCTATGAATGTAATAATATGTTATGCAGTGATGCAGAAAACTACATGAGATTAGTAGAAATAATGATATATTTGGTTTGAGTAACAAATTTTTTTGTGCACTTTATTAATTTGGTCACATTTAACTAAAATACATGCTTATTTAGATTCAAAGCTTTGAGGCAGAGCTTTCAGTGCCAGAGCTCACCTCCAAGGAAGGTGGTCCTGAAACATTTCGTGGGATTTTTATTCGTGCACCTGCAATTCTTGAAGCAGGGCCTGAAGTTCAAGTGCTGGCTGATTATCCTGTATCTTCTAACAGATTGTTGAATTCTGATTCCTCTGTTGAAGACAAAACGGTTAGTTATTGTCTTATTGACATACCTGTCTATAGAAAGTTTTTAGTTTGCATTGATGAGTATAATAAGACCAAGAGTGTTATGTGTGTAATTTTCTAACTCATGTTTTGACTAATTTGTAAATATGTCATGTCACTGACTTAAATTTTAGTTAAAGTTTCATCATTTGTTAATTGTAGTTATAGGTTTTGAGTGGCCCTTTATTCCAGAGCTATTAGAATTTAAAAGGTTCTTGTATGATGAATAGAGTAATGAAGACATGCAACAATGGACAAGATCCAATAAACATTACTGATAGTTGTATATTTGAACTTTTGTTTGGCTACGTTATTAGCATGATAAAGATCCAACTAGGAATGGGAAGCTTCACATGTATAATTGTTTATGAAACTAATATTTTGGCGATTGAATTTAAATTTTGAACTGGGGGAAGAGTTGACTCTGGCATATGTTTAAGCCCTTTCTGTTTCCATGTTTCTTTTGGTTCAGTAGCATAGTTTGGCTTTTGAAGAGTCTGGTCTGGTGAGCAAATCTTTTCTGAAGGAAAAACTAACAGAAGAAAGGAATTGATAAATAAAAGGAAATTGTTTTTAGAAATAAATGATTAGGATATGACTATTAAATTCTTATCAGTTTGGGGCCTTATTATTCAGTGATCCTCAACTCTTTGGAATTTTCCTTGTTTATATGCTTATTCTCCTTGGAACAGTTTCCCACTTTTGTGAAAACTACTAATATTACCTTATTGGATATTTATTGTCCAACCCAATATGTTGTTGACTTCATCCTTATGTACACAATAAAGCACTAATATACTGTATCGTTAGGTTTAATTGTGTATGTTTTTGCCATTAAAAAAGATTAATGCCATCATAAACTGGTAGCTGAGTCACCTGCTTAGGATATAGAATAATGGGAAAACACATGCTCATACAAGAAACACAAGGTGAGTATATGTTTGAATTTTGGGGTCGAAGTGTATAAAAGTCCTTGGAAATAAACCTGTCTTTGCCAGCTGATGTAGTATACACATGCTGCTTGTAGTTTTACTTAATCTTACGGTTCTTTAATTATGTTTTTAGTTTTCTAAATTTGGGATATATTTTTTTTGGTCCCCTAAATTTAAAACTTGTGTTTTTAATCTCCAAAATATCAAAAATTATTATTTTGGTCCTCCAAATTTAAAATTTATTTTTTAATCTTTGTAATTTCAAAAAATATTGTTTGTCACTAATATCATATTTGATAGTGACAAACTGAGAGGAGCTAAAATAATAATTTTTGATATTTTGGGAACTAAAACACATTTTGAATTTGAGAGGACAAAACAATGTTTTTTTGAAAATTATTAGGACTAATAACAGAAGTTCTAAATTTGAATGGCCAAAAAAATATACATTTCAAATTTAATAGATTAAAATCATATTCAAGACTCTTAGTACAATGGAATTGGGGATGCACCTGAATTTTACTGTAGATGCCTCTGTTTGACTTCATGGTGACCATTTCCTGTTTGACCTACTTGTTTAAGAGGCCTCTATGTTGCAGGTGATTTAGGAAGCAATCTTGTAATGTAAATGATTTTAAAACCACTCAGCAGTTGAAAAACAAATTGTTTGAGTTTAATAATATAATTTTATTGGACATTTACGCAATCTCTAGTTCTTAGCTTGACAATGCTACTAATCTCGCAAATAATGTTTCCTGCTATAATCCAACAGGTCTATATAGTTTTTGATACCATCAATGCTTGCAATTGGCATTGAAATATAATCAACTTTACCATAATCTCTTGGTCTTTTCCCCCATTAATTACCTTATTTCATACTAGTTTTGGATATGACAGGAAAATGCTGAGGAAGAAAGTAAAGTTATAGTTGCTGTGAGACAAGGGAACATACTAGGAACTGCTTTTCATCCTGAATTGACATCTGATACTCGATGGTAGATATAAGTTGTTTTTGGCTTTTGAATTCTACAATTTTTTATATGATATCTTGTTCTAATGATTTAATTTTTCAGGCATAGTTATTTTATAAAAATGTCAAATGAGATTATAGAAGAGGCCTCCTCAAGTAGCCTTGTTCCTGCACAAGTCGGTACAAGTCACAATCAACCATCTCTCAGTGACCTTCCTATCTATCAATAGGACCGCAATACTCGCCAAGCCTTTCTTGAACAATTGTGGATGATTTTTTTTTTTCATTGATGGATCTTAGAAAATAGCTAAAAAGTATTCTTTTTCATATTTTTGACAATAGTATTATATATAAACTTTGGTGTTTTCTAGTGTGTATGTAGTCACCTGGATGTCAATATTCATTCTAGCATTTTCTGTTGGTGATCATAAGTAGCTATTTGCTACCTAATTGTTATTCTGGCAGTTTCTCCAGAATCCAAATTCTAATGTGCTTAGCTTATGAAATTTGAATATCAACTAGGCCATGTAACTTAAATTAGAAATAAATAGGTAAAATTACACTTTTAGAGAATATTTGTTTTTTAAAAAAATCCTAAAAAATACTATTTTTAATAAAATAAACAGTTTTTTTTTTTTTTACCTTTTTTACATGTTTATCTATTTTTTAAAAAAATATTTTTCTGTTTTTCTAAAGGGTTTCTTCTGTTCTATATTATGAGCAAAAATAGTTAATTTTTTTTCTATATTTAAGAATTAGAATGTATTTTTTTTCTTATAATGGAGAACAAAGAGTAATACTTATTTACTTCCTAAAGGAATGTTATCATTTAAAAAAAAAATAATACTTCACTAGGAAGATTAAAAAAAATTAAAACAAAGGGATCGAATATCAAATTTGTAATTTTGAATTCTAAATTTTGATTATGTAATTTTAGTACTGTTTAATTTATAACATATAATTTTGATTTTTTTTTAAATGTTCATTCATTGATTATTTAAGTTGTAACTATGGTCATGACATAACACATGATAATTAATATTTATGTTAAATTATTTTTTTAGTTTATTTTTGGTTAAATTATACATTTATTCTTTCCATTTTTGTTAATTTATAATTTTGGTTCATTTATTTTAAAATAGAGATATTTAGTTTCTAAATTTAGAAATACAGAATTTTTGTTCTCTAATCAAATTGATTTTTATTAATCATTGAAACTTTTATTCATACTTAATTGATATTAGTAACATGACAATTAAAGATTAAAAAATATCATGTAAATAAGGTTTATTAATAGAATAAATACTTATCATTTGTTAAATAAATATAAATAATAAAAAATTTGTATGTTATTTTAATTTTTATATCATTATTTAAGTGATGATAAGTAGTGATAAACGAACTTCAAATTGACATTACGATCAAAATTTTTATATATTTAAAAATAGAGGGATTAAATATCTTTGTTTTAAAATGAGAAGCCAACATTAACAAAATTAAAAGGACTAAAAATATAATTTAATCTTTATTTTTCTCATTTTATCATTTTTATCATTTATAAAATAAAAATATGAACTAAAAGTCAAATCTAACCTAAATATTAATAAATATTAATTGTTATATCATTTACTTAATATGAGATTATGATTAATATTAAAATTTCAACATTCAATAAAAAATATTTAACGAAAAAATTAAAATTGTGAACTTTATAAAATTGGAATTTGAAATTGTAAAATTAAAAAGATTATGAAAATTGCATATTCTATATTATTGAGAAACTAAAAGAGTAATTTAATAAATATAAAATAAAATAAAGCTTTTAGGATGATACTAATAGGCAAGTAACATGATTGATAGCATGAAAATTTGATTATACTTCGATCTGCCACTGATATGAATACCTGGAATGCACATATAAAAAATTACCAAAATATATACAAAATGTTTAAGGTATATAAGGTTGTAAATACATCTATATGAATAAATAAGTATATGTTATATTACTTTCATAATTGGTGTCCAAAGTCATCAAAGTTTAATGATTATATATATTATGCTATGAGGTTTTCTAAAATAAAAAATATTGATATCGGTAAATAGGAAATTCTTTTTGGCAAATTTGTAAGTAACATTTCTCTTAATAAACATGCCAATTTCATTATTAATATTGAAAATTTTTGGTGATAAATGAGTCCGTTTGTTTTTTAAAAAAATGATCTAAAAGCATTTTTTTAATAAAATAAGTACTTTTTAATATTTTTTTTTATGTATTTGTTTAATTTTTTTCTAAGATAAGTAATTTTTAAATTTTTTTAAGAAATAACTCCTATATGTTTATTAAATAATTATTTTAAAAAAACACTTATTTAAAAATATTTATTTTTAAATTTAAATAAATAGATTCAATATCTCATAATATAATTACATAGTCCTTGTACTTTGACAACTTTTGACACCAATTATAAAAATAAAATACCGTATAATTATTTATTCACATAAAGATTTTTATATCCTTATATACCTTACACTTTTTAGGTTAGCACAGTCACTTTTTATATGTACATTTTGTTTCTAGTTTAAATGCCCTTTGCCTATTTGTGAAACATCCAAGGGCAAGGCTGTGTTTGGCAGTTGGATTTTTCAAGGGTAGTGAGTATTTTTTTATTATTAAAAAATTAATTTTAGTTTAATATTTTAAATAAATGAAATGAAATGAATGATATATTGTTGTAAAATTTAATTTAATATGTTAATATTTAATTTATTTTTATAAACATTTTATAATTATCCTAATTAAAAAATAATAACAAATATCATTTTTCTTTCTTTTCAAAATGTCATTCCCTACTATTTGGACATTAGTAGGGTCGGTAGAGAATGGGCAGGAGTTTGGAAGAACAGTATTATAAATAGATGGTTTCCATTCTAAGTATACACTAATTTTAGAAAAACTTAAAATAAATACTTAACTAATATTTTTGGTTCCTCTAATTTCCCAAGTTTTATTTAAATAAATTTGGTCGTCTAAATTTAAAATTAAACAAATCTGGTCCTCATGTTAGCCAACAATTCCCATAATCTTTTCTATTCAAATAGTTGGGAACTTAAAATGGGTGTAGAATATGAAATAATTTTGAAAACTCAAGAATAAAAAACGGGGCAAATCTGATAACTTTGAAAGGATTTACTTATTTTTTAGAGGAAAATTTGAATTTACTTATTTTTGGCATAAAACTTGATATTTTGATTGACAAATTTTGAAACAGAGAATATTTAAATTGATTTAATCGACTTAATTTGTAAACACTGTAAATACAGTGAAAATTTGAGATTTTTACGGAGTCATTTAGTTTGAGAGAAGGTTTTATGTTTTCACTATGCTTCCTGATTTTTGACATTTATACAGAAAAAAGACACAAAAAATAATTAATTTTTACTGTTTTTGTTTAAAATTCATAAAACATGAATATAAAATAACAATAGAAATAGAAAATAAAAAATATTTTTTTGAACGAAAAGAAAAAGAGATAAAGAAAAGTAATAAAAGTTAAAATTTAAGAGATTAAATATAACAATTAAAAACTTGAGATTAAATTTGCTTAAAAAATTATTAAGTACCTAAAATATACGTTAACTATAATATTATTTTGTTAACATCACTTAAAAATTATTAAAACATTTTTTTTGTTTTAATCGTAATAAACAAGCATGAAATGGAATAGAAACAAATGGCATAGAAATAAAAAAAAAATCCTTTTTTTAAGAATAAAACTTCATTTATTTGAATGAATACTAATGAATATTGTGTTGTCCTCCCATTAAAAATAATAGTCAAGAATTCGGATAAAAAATAATTAGTGGAAGAAATTTAGTTACCATTTTATCCTCAATTTAATATACAAAACAATTTTTTTTATGAGGATTCTTATTTTTATTTTTTCCTTTTATTCGTTCAAATAAGTACAGAATATTTTTTTTCCTCTATGATCATATAAACAAAATGTTAGGATTAATTTTAAACATTTAAAAGCAATAAATTTTTATTGAAATAAAAACATTTACTATTCATTTATATTTTCAAAATAATGAAATGTTTTTTGTACCAGAACATGTAATATATCCTTTTTAAAAATAAAACTTGCTACTGCGATATGTTGAATATTTGTCATGAAAACTAAATGTTTAAAATTATTCTTGAAAAACTGACGTTAAATTTCCCCCAACCAGATACCAAGTAACATTTCAATCACCTCTTATATTTATTAACATTATAATTCTTTTGTTTATAAAGTAAAATTATCACTCGAGTCCTTTCTCTTCCTGACTCTTCTATTCCTACATCTGGACGCAACCGCTGTACAATTTTTGCTAAAATAATTTTTTTTTGTTAACTTTCTGAAAGAGTTATTTCATGAGTACTAAAAATAATAATAATCGACTGCAGATTAATTACTTTTTACTTCAAATTAATAACTGTTTTTAACTACAGTTACTTCGTATTTATATATATTTTTTTAAATATTGACCGCAATGAGAAGAGAATGGTGATTCCACTGACACTAAAATAAGTTCATACGATGAAAGATTGATGAACTTGCTACGCTTAGATATGGCAATGCACTTATAAGAAAGAAATTTAAATTACTTAAAGCAACCAATTAAGGCTACAATGCACAAAGGGAAATTCAAGTACGATAACTAACCGAGGGAAGCTCAAATAGCTGGCAAATATATCATATGCCAACAAAAGAAGACATTCTTCTCTACCAGCACAAATATTAAAAAGTAGCCTAGTATGCACAGTCACAATATATAATAGCTTCCCTCAACAAAACATCATAAGACCAAGGTTTTGAACATCAATTTCAATCATCATCTTCATCATCCTCTTCCTCGTCGTCCTCCTCATCATCCTCTTGGTGGTCCTCCTACACAAAAGGAAAATAATGAGCTCAAGAAGTATTAAAAAGAAAAAGGGGCACTGACTTAAAGCTTTTATCATGAAAATAATAAGTTTTGCTTTTCCTTCCTTGAAAAATTCAAAAACCAGAAGTACTAGGGTTTATGCTCCCATTTTATTTATTTATTTTGGGTACACATGGTATTGGTATAGAGCATCCAACCATTTGAAGTAGTGATTAATTTCTACAAAGAACTTCAACAAAAAACCGAGGATAGATGCCCCTTTAAACTAATGGAATGATAATGTTTGATACATGGAAAATTTGTTCATGTTCAAAAATTATAATTCCTGAAAATCCTAAATCTTCAGATTAATGATTCTTAGGTATGATTAAAATCCGTTTGGTTGATCATATAAAAAAAAATGACATTTTTACCGGAATAAAACTTTTCAATTAACTTGGAAATGTTAGATAAAGGTTAGCTTCCCATGAGAACAATTCATGAGAAATATAAATAAAAAACATTCTCAAAAAACAATGTTTTCTAGGAATGTTATTTTTTAATCAATAAATCAAATGTGAGAAATTATCATTCCCAACTTTAGATTTCTAGGAAGCCAAAAATAATTTTTATATCAAATGCCTCTTAAGAAATCCAACATGTCAATTTATTGAGAAGCTAAACAATTAGAGATATTAGTATATTTTGATGCTTAAAATAGTAAATAGGAAATGATACTCCCATAATTACCTGACAAGGAGCCAATGACATACTGGAAATCATCAAACCAAACATCTTTGTCTACTTAATGTTTAGTTGAAGCTAAGTAGTGTCCAAAGACCTTAGTATATATAAATCAAAAGGTACAATCCAGGTTTAAAAATTCTTATTTTATAAACTTCTCTTGATGAATCTAAAGGGTTAATAAGTATGATAATAATTAAATTTTTAACAAAAACTGTTTTTATTTCTCATTTTCACCCTTTAGAACAAAAATCTTGAAACAACAGAAACCAAAACAAGTTAATGTTCATTTAGTTCAAGCTACTTATTATAACACTCAAAATTCAAGAAGGTACAGAGAATACATTCTAAAATAAATAATATAGCTAACATAAAAAGCGGAAAGAAGGCTACCTCTCCACTAGCATCATCATCTTCATCATTCACTTCAGATTTGGACTTGTCCGATTCATCATCATCAGCAGAGCTTGCCTGGAAACATTATAGAAAATAAAGTATATAAACAAGACAATCAAAGCACCACACAGGCACACACAACAGAACAACCGGAACATGTTACTCACCTGCTTCTTATCATAAGCTTTCATAAGTTTTTCATACTCAACTTTCCTTTTTGCAGCCTTGGCTTCATATGGAGCTTTCTCCTTTTCATTCCAACGAGAGGAGAGGAGTCAACATTAATTCAAAAATAAATCTTTCTTTAATAGAATGATTTCATTGGGTACATATATATATATATATATATATTTTGATATACTGGAATTCAATTGAAGAAACATTTGCTTACATACTTAAAAATAAAATTATATCCAAAAGCATCTAAAAGCACAACAAAGAGTAAATTAATTTAAAAGACAACAAAAACGTGTCATTATTTATCACAATTGCAGAACTTACAGCAGTGGACAAGGACTTCCATTTCTCTCCTCCAGCTTTCCCAACCTTCAATCAAAAAGTGAAGCAAACAATTTAGATGCTTATTCAAAAAAGGGTACATCATCATTGAAGATGAAGCAATTTGACATGTAACTTACAACTGCTACACCCCTCAGATGAGGATTCTCATCCTTAAAGGTCTTCCTGAACTCCTCACTACCACAGAGCATGAAACAAGTCATGTAATTTTCCAAAGGAGATATATAATCAAGTAAAGAGAAAAGACAGATACAAACAGGAACACAAAGAAAGCACTGGGTGGTCTCTTAGGCTTGTTAGGGTCTTTCTTGGCCTTCTCCTTCTTTGCCTTTGGTGCTCTACTCCTTTCAGGCTTAGCAGGAGCCTTCCGCTTTCCAACCTTTCTGAAAACAATAGAGATATATGTTCCATCACTACACTATTCCTGTAACAACTGGATGCACCATCAAATATGCATAATCAGATAATAATATAATGTTTAGATATTAAAAAATGCACCCGAAAGCCAACACCCTGATCAACAAAGAGATGCAAAGTTATATGAAAAATCAAAATGCCTCAATAAACTTCACCAAACTGTAATGGTACAAAGAGATGCAAAGTTATATGAAAAATCAAAATG